GTGCTAGTGGAGGCCAGGACAGGATATCCAGTACTTGACATCCGCTAGGTGCTAGTGGAGGCCAGGACAGGATATCCAGTACTTGACATCTGCTAGGTGCTAGTGGAGGCCAGGACAGGATATCCAGTACTTGACATCTGCTAGTGGAGGCCAGGACAGGATATCCAGTACTTGACATCTGCTAGTGGAGGAAAGGACAGAATATCCAGTACTTGGACATCTGCTAGTGGAGGCCAGGATATCCAGTACTTGGACATCTGCTAGTGGAGGCCAGGACAGGATATCCAGTACTTAGACATCTGCTAGGTGCTAGTGGAGGCCAGGACAGGATATCCAGTACTTGACATCTGCTAGGTGCTAGTGGAGGCCAGGACAGGATATCCAGTATTTGGACATCTGCTAGGTGCTAGTGGAGGCCATGACAGGATATCCAGTACTTGGACATCTGCTAGGTGCTAGTGGAGGCCAAGATAGGACAATCTATTTACTTGAGATTTTGGACACAGGCGAACACCGGCTGTAGCCCATGTTGTTAACCACGACAACTACAACCACAGACAGTTACCGTTTTCTCAGCCTCAAAGGTGTAGGTGTAGACTCCGTGTGTGTCGTTGAAGTTCATGTAGTTGTTGAGAGGTAGGCAGCAGCTGTCAGTCAGATGCAAACATGTTATACAGACAGTCTGAAGTTAGCAGGTTATCTTACATTTTCATACTAACAGTCATCAAACAAAGTGAACCTTCTCTCTCTCTCACACACACACGTACCCACACAAATATAAAAAACACTAGTCCACCTAGACAGGCAGGGCATACAGTAATCATGGATGTAGTCATAGCCCCCCCCCCCCCCCCCCCCCCCCCCCCCCCCCCCACCCCTCTCTTCAATAAATAACAACTGTACAAGAGACTCTCTGGGCACTATTCCTGAGAGACTGTAGCTCAACAAGTGGCTGTTAGGTCAAACATCCAAACAGCAGCCCAAAAGTGACAGCACACAATTATTCTTGTGTCAGCTCCATGAAACATTCAACACTCTACTGCTTATCTACACAACAGACGACTATCTTATTTGCCAGGGTGGAGGACAGAATTCAACAGAGAGGGAACATTAAGAGCATGATCTGATACCAACTGGGAATTCTAGTCTATACAATAAATTCTCTACAACAACTGCTTGGTTTGTGAACAATATGTGTGGACATGTATCAGTGCTGTTGTGCTACAAGCTATGATCACAGGCTAGGCTTTCTGAATTCACAACTCCAGAGTGGAGAAGTTCACAGGAGGGTGTCCTTGACCTGTCTGTCAGAGGCAGGGGCTGGTGATCTGTCCATCAGAGATGGGTATTGTTTGTCTGTCTGCCAGAGGAGTGTGTTGTCTGTCTGTGTCTGCCAGAAGAGTGTGTTGTTTGTCTGTGTCTGCCAGAGGAGTGTGTTGTCTGTCTGTGTCTGCCAGAAGAGAGTGTTGTCTGTCTGTGTCTGCAAGAAGAGAGTGTTGTCTGTCTGTGTCTGCCAGAAGAGAGTGTTGTTTGTCTGCCTGCCAGAGGAGTGTGTTGTCTGTCTGTGTCTGCCAGAAGAGAGTGTTGTTTGTCTGCCTGCCAGAGGAGTGTGTTGTCTGTCTGTGTCTGCCAGAAGAGAGTGTTGTTTGTCTGTTTGCCAGAGGAGTGTGTTGTCTGTCTGTGTCTGCCAGAAGAGAGTGTTGTTTGTCTGTTTGCCAGAGGAGTGTGTTGTCTGTCTGTCTGTCTGCCAGAAGAGAGTGTTGTTTGTCTGTCTGCCAGAGGAGTGTGTTGTCTGTCTGTGTCTGCCAGAAGAGAGTGTTGTTTGTCTGCCTGCCAGAGGAGTGTGTTGTCTGTCTGTGTCTGCCAGAAGAGAGTGTTGTTTGTCTGTCTGCCAGAGGAGTGTGTTGTCTGTCTGTGTCTGCCAGAAGAGAGTGTTGTTTGTCTGTCTGCCAGAGGAGTGTGTTGTCTGTCTGTGTCTGCCAGAAGAGAGTGTTGTTTGTCTGTCTGCAAGAAGAGTGTGTTGTCTGTCTGTGTCTGCAAGAAGAGAGTGTTGTTTGTCTGCTGTCAATGTATAGTCAGTGTGCCTACTGAGTCTAGAGCCACCCATGGCACTAACCTTGTAGCGATCTTGAAGACTTCTGTGGCACAGACAGCTGAAACAGACAGACATCTTGTAATTATTAGGAAAGAAAAAATGACTATCTTGTAATAATTAGGAAAGAAAATATGACTATCTTGTAATTATTAGGGGGAAAAAATGACTATCTTGTAATTATTAGGAAAGAAAATATGACTATCTTGTAATTATTAGGAAAGAAAAATGACTATCGTGTAATTATTCGGAAAGAAAATATGACTATCTTGTAATTATTAGGAAAGAAAATATGACTATCTTGTAATTATTAGGAAAGAAAATATAACTATCTTGTAATTATTAGGAAAGAAAAAATGACTATCTTGTAATTATTAGGAAAGAAAAAATGACTATCTTGTAATTATTAGGAAAGAAAATATGACTATCTTGTAATTATTAGGAAAGTAAAAATGACTATCTTGTAATTATTAGGAAAGAAAATATGACTATCTTGTAATTATTAGGGAAGAAAATTTGACTATCTTGCAATTATTAGGAAAGAAAATATGACTATCTTGTAATTATTAGGGAAGAAAATATGACTATCTTGTAATTATTAGGAAAGAAAAAATGACTATCTTGTAATTATTAGGAAAGAAAAAATGACTATCTTGTAATTATTAGGAAAGAAAATATGACTTTCTTGTAATTATTAGGAAAGAAAAAATGACTACCTTGTAATTATTAGGAAAGAAAATATGACTATCTTGTAATTATTAGGGAAGAAATTAGGGGTGTATTAACGGAGGCGAACAGTTGTTGGAACAATAAAACACTGAGTAGCAACTGTGTGGCATTTCCAACATTGCTTGTTTGTGTTCAAAATTATGTTAAACTGTCTGTCAGTGTCAAAACCAAGAGGTTTTGAAAGAGGCAGGAGCCCAAAGACAACTTGTCACAGATTTCAGAAGGCCATTTTATGAGAAGAGGAAAAATGGAACATGTTGTGACCACTGGAAAGATCTGTGGAAGGAGGAATCAAGAAAGACAAGGAGAGAAGATTCTTGACATTCTTGTTGCATGGCATGGAGGTGTGTCGGCACACGAACTGATACATACTGCAGGAGATCGAGGATGGTGGAGAGGCATAATCACCCACGCCAGTCGGCAAGCACCTGATGATGATGATGATGATCCGTCAGTCTATCAGATCTGGCAATAGAAGCCAAGGATAGACAGTATTAAGATATGGCCAGGGTTACACTCTGGGCTACAGTCTATCAGATCTGGCAATAGAAGCCAGGGATAGACAGTATTAAGATATGGCCAGTGTTACACTCTGGGCTACAGTCTATCAGATCTGGCAATAGAAGCCAAGGATAGACAATATAAAGATATGGCCAGGGTTACACTCTGGGCTACAGTCTATCAGATCTGGCAATAGAAGCCAAGGATAGACAGTATTAAGATGTGGCCAGGGTTACACTCTGGGCTACAGTCTATCAGATCTGGCAATAGAAGCCAAGGCTAGACAGTATTAAGATATAGCCAGGGTTACACTCTGGCAGAAAGAAAACAGAAACCAAGGATACACAATGCTAAAGATCCATAACCTCCAATGGAAAGCTTGTGTGACATTTATGTTGTCAAGAAAGCTTGTGTGACATTTATGTTGACAAGAAAGCTTGTGTGCCATTTATGTTGACAAGAAAGCTTGTGTGACATTTATGTTGTCAAGAAAGCTTGTGTGACATTTATGTTGGCAAGAAAGCTTGTGTGACATTTATGTTGTCAAGAAAGCTTGTGTGACATTTATGTTGTCAAGAAAGCTTGTGTGACATTTATGTTGTCAAGAAAGCTTGTGTGACATTTATGTTGTCAAGAAAGCTTGTGTGACATTTATGTTGTCAAGAAAGCATGTGTGACATTTATGTTGTCAAGAAAGCTTGTGTGACATTTATGTTGTCAAGAAAGCTTGTGTGACATTTATGTTGTCAAGAAAGCTTGTGTGACATTTATGTTGTCAAGAAAGCTTGTGTGACATTTATGTTGTCAAGAAAGCTTGTGTGACATTTATGTTGTCAAGAAAGCTTGTGTGACATTTATGTTGTCAAGAAAGCTTGTGTGACATTTATGTTGACAAGAAAGCTTGTGTGACATTTATGTTGTCAAGAAAGCTTGTGTGACATTTATGTTGTCAAGAAAGCTTGTGTGACATTTATGTTGTCAAGAAAGCTTGTGTGACATTTATGTTGTCAAGAAAGCTTGTGTGACATTTATGTTGACAAGAAAGCTTGTGTGACATTTATGTTGTCAAGAAAGCTTGTGTGACATTTATGTTGACAAGAAAGCTTGTGTGACATTTATGTTGACAAGAAAGCTTGTGTGACATTTATGTTGACAAGAATGGCAAGTCTACTCTTGTAAACATCACATTTTTTTAATGGAGCAACTGTGGCACTCTGTATTATTCTCTAGCCAGCGTCACGGCATAGAGGGCATAGCTCTACTGTGCACACATCAGAAGATGACACCCACGCCAGTTTGGTTCAGATATCTCAGGTATCAGAAGTGAGACAGTTCAAACATGACATAAAACTGGTTCAGATATCTCAGGTATCAGAAGTGAGACAGTTCAAACATGACATTAAACTGGTTCAGGTATCATAAGTGAGACAGTTCAAACATGACATAAAACTGGTTCAGATATCTCAGGTATCATAAGTGAGATAGTTCAAACATGACATAAAACTGGTTCAGATATCTCAGGTATCATAAGTGAGATAGTTCAAACATGACATAAAACTGGTTCAGATATCTCAGGTATCATAAGTGAGACAGTTCAAACATGACATAAAACTGGTTCAGATATCTCAGGTATCATAAGTGAGATAATTCAAACATGACATAAAACTGGTTAGGTTACCTGATATCACAGCATTGGTAGATGCCACCGCTGGCATGATACGCTTGACCACACCTGCCAAAGAAGCAAAGATTCATGAATATGTGTTGTTAGTGGTACCAGTTTAAGGTTTTGAACAACGGATCAACATCATGGTACACCGGTAGTAACCCATAAGTGTGCCGTTCTTCTTTTAACTCAAGTCTGAGTCCAAAGAAACTCAGCACAGTGCACCTGCTCTGTAGCACCGGCGAGAATCCTGAAATACTTTGGGTAGATTTAGGCTACTTTTTTCGATTTCCAACTGCCAAAGAATTTTTTATGTGCGCAACAATGCACACGGGCATCCGATCTCACTATTCTAGTCACAAGTCACTGCCTAGTCAATCACACCTAGTAATAAGACAACACTTCTGGTCACACATCACTGTCAAGTCAATCACACCTAGTAATTAGACAACACTTCTGGTCACAAGTCATTGCCTATTCAATCACATCTAGCAATAAGAAAACACTTTTGGTCACAAGTCATTGCCTAGTCAATCACATCTAGTAATAAGAAAACACTTTTGGTCACACATCACTGCCTAGTCAATCACACCTAGTAATTAGACAACACTTCTGGTCACAAGTCATTGCCTAGTCAATCACACCAAATAATAAGACAACACTTCTGGTCACAAGTCATTGTCTAGTCAATCACACCAAATAATAAGACAACACTTCTGGTCACAAGTCACTGCCTAGTCAATCACACCTAGTGATAAGACAACATTTCTGACTACAAGGCTTTGCCTAGTCTAGGGTACCTTGTGTTAACCTGTAGGTGACACCTGAGATGTTGTACTCGTGAGCTCTCTCCTGGGACTTGTCAAAGATCCACTTGATGTGCTTGGGGTCATCGCCGTCTATAGGCACTCCAGCTGAAGGGTGGAGAGATGACAGAGAATGAGGCTAGGACAAGGGGACTTTACTTTGTGTGATGTGAGGCTTGGACAAGGTGACTGTACACTGTGTGATATGAGGTTTAGACAAGGTGACTGTACACTGTGTGATGTGAGGCTTGGACAAGGTGACTGTACACTGTGTGATGTGAGGCTTGGACAAGGTGTCTGTACACTGTGTGGTGTGAGGCTTGGACAAGTCGTCTGTACACTGTGTGAAATGAGATTTAGACAAGGTGACTGTACACTGTGTGATATGAGGCTTGGACAAGGTGACTGTACACTGTGTGATGTGAGGCTTGGACAAGGGGTCTGTACACTGTGTGATGTGAGGTTTAGACAAGGTGACTGTACACTGTGTGATGTGAGGCTTGGACAAGGTAACTGTACACTGTGTGATGTGAGGCTAGGACAAGGTGACTGTACACTGTGTGATGTGAGGCTTAGACAAGGTGACTGTACACTGTGTGATGTGATTATTGGACAAGGTGACTGTACACTGTGTGATGTGAGGCTTATACTAGATGACTGTACACTGTGTGATGTGAGGCTTGGACAAGGTGACTGTATGCTGTGTGATGTGAGGCTTGGACAAGGTGACTGTATGATGTGTGATGTGAGGCTTGGACAAGGTGACTGTACACTGTGTGATGTGAGGCTTGGACAAGGTGACTGTATGATGTGTGATGTGAGGCTTGGACAAGGTAACTATACACTGTGTGATGTAAGGTTTGGACAAGGTAACTGTACACTGTGTGATGTGAGGCTTGGACAAGGTAACTGTACACTGTGTGATGTGAAGCTTGGACAAGGTGACTGTATGATGTGTGATGTGAGGGTCAGACAAGGTGACTTTACACTGTGTGATGTGAGGCTTGGACAAGGTGACTGTATGATGTGTGATGTGAGGCTTGGACAAGGTAACTGTATGATGTGTGATGTGAGGCTTGGACAAGGTGACTGTACACTGTGTGATGTGAGGCTTGGACAAGGTAACTGTATGATGTGTGATGTGAGGCTTGGACAAGGTGACTGTACACTGTGTGATGTGAGGCTTGGACAAGGAGACTGTATGCTGTGTGATGTGAGGCTTGGACAAGGTAACTGTATGATGTGTGATGTGAGGCTTGGACAAGGTGACTGTACACTGTGTGATGTGAGGCTTGGACAAGGAGACTGTATGCTGTGTGATGTGAGGCTTGGACAAGGTGACTGTATGATGTGTGATGTGAGGGTCAGACAAGGTGACTGTACACTGTGTGATGTGAGGCTTGGACAAGGTGACAAACTAATTAGTAGTTATGTTTCTCTCACACACTAACCGGTAGTTATGTTTCTCTCACACACTAACTGGTAGTTATGTTTCTCTCACACAATAACTGGTAGTTTTGTTTATCTCACACAATAACTGGTAGTTATGTTTCTCTCACACACTAACTGGTAGTTATGTTTCTCTCACACACTAACTGGTAGTTTTGTTTCTCTCACACAATAACTGGTAGTTTTGTTTATCTCACACAATAACTGGTAGTTATGTTTCTCTCACACACTAACTGGTAGTTATGTTTCTCTCACACACTAACTGGTAGTTATGTTTCTCTCACACAATAACTGGTAGTTATGTTTCTCTCACACAATAACTATTAGTTATGTTTCTCTCACACAATAACTGGTAGTTATGTTTCTCTCACACAATAACTGGTAGTTATGTTTCTCTCACACAATAACTGGTAGTTATGTTTCTCTCACACACTAACTGGTAGTTATGTTTCTCTCACACAATAACTGGTAGTTATTTTAACTGGTAGTGATGTTTCTCTCACACACTAACTGGTAGTTATGTTTCTCTCACACACTAACTGGTAGTTATGTTTCTCTCACACACTAACTGGTAGTGATGTTTCTCTGACATACTTACCTTGAGTATGTTAAACTTGCCTTACAGGGGCCTCTTGTTTTAGCCACCAACCGTTATTCTACAGCTGTATTTGACTGACCCAATCAATTTCCAGTTGCTTGTGTTTGCTTCGGGCTTACGTAACACTGACCCAATCAATTTCCAGTTGCTTGTGTTTGCTTCAGGCATACGTAACACTGACCCAATCAATTCCCAGTTGCTTGTGTTTGCTTCAGGCATACGTAACACTGACCCAATCAATTCCCAGTTGCTTGTGTTTGCTTCAGGCATACGTAACACTGACCCAATCAATTCCCAGTTGCTTGTGTGTGCTTCGGGCATACGTAACACTGACCCAATCAATTTCCAGTTGCTTGTGTTTGCTTAAGGCATACGTAACACTGACCCAATCAATTTCCAGTTGCTTGTGTTTGCTTCGGGCATACGTAACACTGACCTAGTCACATAACAAAGAGATGGGTGGAAAAATAGATGACACACCTACCTCCAAATGGTTCCTCTTTAGGCCACAAGAGAATGCGGACAAACTCAATACAATGTTCTGGTAATCGGGGCGTGTGTGCTATAGTGCACAAGGGGAAATTCACCTGCACAAAGTAAAGACACACGTAGGTCAGCATGATAAAAAACCAATAAAAACAATAAGATTACAATCAATAAGGCAGGTCACAATGGTGTCACTACTAATCCAGTTACTCAGTGAGAGATACAATCAATAAGGCAGGTCACAACAGTGTCACTACTGATCCAGTTAATCAGTGAGAGATACAATCAATAAGGCAGGTCACAACAGTGTCACTACTGATCCAGTTAATCAGTGAGAGATTACAATCAATAAGGCAGGTCACAACAGTGTCACTACTGATCCAGTTACTCAGTCAGAGATTACAATCAATAAGGCAGGTCACAACAGTGTCACTACTGATCCAGTTACTCAGTCAGAGATTACAATCAATAAGGCAGGTCACAACAGTGTCACTACTGATCCAGTTACTCAGTCAGAGATTACAATCAATAAGGCAGGTCACAACAGTGTCACTACTGATCCAGTTAATCAGTGAGAGATTACAATCAATAAGGCAGGTCACAACAATGTCATCTACTGATCCAGTTACTCAGTCAGAGATTACAATCAATAAGGCAGGTCACAACAATGTCATCTACTGATCCAGTTAATCAGTGAGAGATTACAATTAATAAGGCAGGTCACAACAATGTCATCTACTGATCCAGTTACTCAGTCAGAGATTACAATCAATAAGGCAGGTCACAACAATGTCATCTACTGATCCAGTTACTCAGTGAGAGATTACAATCAATAAGGCAGGTCACAACAATGTCATCTACTGATCCAGTTAATCAGTGAGAGATTACAATCAATCCAGTAAATCTCCAGTATATAACAACAGTTACCTGCTTAATGACTGTGTTTATAACAGATGGACTAACAATGACTTATTCACTGTCTGTTATACAACACTATATTATCTTTAACACGCTGGTTTGATAATGCCTACTTGACACTGCTTATTGTCAGGAAAGCTCGAAAGTTCTGTGCAGAAAAAATCTGCCCTTACCTGAGGTGGGTAGAGGCCCAGCGTACACTCCACACAGGCAGTGATGCCAGGCAGGATGACTCTAGCATTGCCCTTGAATCCCTCTGTTCCTCCATCCACCATGGGGATCAGACTGGACTGGTCCAGTTCTCCGTCCTCGTACTTCAGCAGACTGATCTGTACAGGGGCATGACATGACGTATGTCACAGTCAAACAACATGAGAAACATCTATCAAAAACAATCACAAAAACAGTATTTTGTTTAAGCACCAGCAAGGAAATCAAAGTAAACATTGTAAAAGAATGCGAGTTATGAACTATCTCCAGTACTTAAGGTAGAAAATAGGGGCTTTTGGGCTGAAATGCTATAGACAAATTCTCAGAAAACAATGGACAAAGAAGGTAAGAAAAAGTTACACTGAAAAATTATCTGAACATCAAGATTGGCTAATAAACAGCATCTTGTCTCGGAAGCTGAAATATTTATGCCATATCAAGCGCCACAAAGGGCTAGGGAAAAATAATAGTAGCTAAACCCCATGACATCTATCATGGTGTACCAAAAAAACACCATGTCATCAATCATGCACAACTGTACCAACAAAACACCATGTCATCAATCATGCACAACTGTACCAACAAAACCCCACGACATCAATCATGCACAACTGTACCAACAAAACCGCATGACATCAGTCAAGCACAAATGTACCCACAAAACCCTATGACATCAATCATGCACAACTGTACCAACAAAACCTTATGACATCAGTCAAGCACAAATGTACCCACAAAACCCCATGACATCAATCATGCACAACTGTACCAACAAAACCTTATGACATCAGTCAAGCACAAATGTACCAACAAAACCTTATGACATCAGTCAAGCCCAATTGTACCAACAAAACCCCATGACATCAGTCATGCACAACTGTACCAACAAAACCCATGATATCAGTCATGCACAACTGTACCAACAAAACCCATCATATCAGTCAAGCACAACTGTACCAACAAAACCTTATGACATCAGTCAAGCCCAATTGTACCAACAAAACCTCATGACATCAGTCATGCAAGAACTGTACCAACAAAACCTTATAACATCAGTCAAGCACAAATGTATAAACAAAACCTTATGACATCAGTCAAGCACAAATGTATAAACAAAACCTTATGACATCAGTCAAGCCCAATTGTACCAACAAAACCTCATGACATCAGTCAAGCCCAATTGTACCAACAAAACCTTATGACATCAGTCAAGTCCAATTGTACCAACAAAACCTCATGACATCAGTCAAGCCCAATTGTACCAACAAAACCTCATGACATCAGTCATGCAAGAACTGTACCAACAAAACCTCATGACATCAGTCATGCAAGAACAGTACCAACAAAACCTCATGACATCAGTCAAGTCCAATTGTACCAAAAAAACCTCATGACATCAGTCATGCAAGAACTGTACCAACAAAACCTCATGACATCAGTCATGCAAGAACTGTACCAACAAAACCCCATGACATCAGTCATGCAAGAACTGTACCAACAAAACCTCATGACATCAGTCAAGCCCAACTGCACTAACAAAACCTCATGACATCAGTCAAGCCCAACTGTGTCAATACAGTAAGATCACATGGATGGCATGACAACTGCACATGCAAAGCCAATACCATGACCACATCTCTCAGTAACAGACACACAAAAAAGTAGACCTGACATGATCACTCATGCAAATACATGGCCATAGGGATCCTGATATGGGTACAGAAGTTGACACACTGACAAACTGTCTGACACACTGTGATATCTGTTGTCTGTGGAGACAGTGTGATAACTGTTGTCTTTGGAGACAGTGTGATAACTGTTGTCTGTGAGGACACAGTGATACTCTTGTCTGTGGAGACAGTGTGATAACAGCTGTCTGTGGACACCGTGTGATAACTGTTGTCTGTGGACACAATGTGATAACTGTTGTCTGTGGATACAGTGTGATAACTGTTGTCTGTGGATACAGTGTGATAACTGTTGTCTGTGGAGACTAAAATGTTTATCCCTTCACAACATGTGGGTAGTGAGCATTCAAACATTGGACTATCTAGTGAACGAATCAACAAACTTTATTTTAAAAGGGTTACAAATTGGGCACGCAGGCCCGTCTTACATTCGGCCCTTCCAGTCAACCATATTTCGCACAGCAGTTGTATTTTACTAATAAAGCATGTTATGATCATATGATGATATGCATATTATGAATATTATAAAAGGACACAAAAGTATGAGTTGTACAGTGCATGCAAAAACCTGTGCGTGCATACACACACCCACACACATACACCCACATACATACGCTCACCCACTCACTTACACACACACACACATGCATGCATACATACAAGTATACATACAGGCATACACACATACATACATACATGCAGGCATACATACATAAATACATACAGGCATACATACATACAGACATACATACATACGTACGTACGTACAGGCATACACACATATATACACTCATACATACACACATACATACATACATACATACATAGTCATGCATAGTGAGGGAGAATGAGCACCTATGTGGAGGTCCTGAGTGGTTTACCCTAGCTTATTGTTATTGACAACATGCAGACAAAGATGTGAGGGTTTGCAGAAAAGTTAGTTCACTTACCAACATCCCATTGATCCAGCGTCGTGCGATGATGGAGTCCAGACCACATACAACTATATGGAAACCTGCAGCACAGGCAATAATAAATATAGTTCCATCTGTAAGCTACAACAGAGCCTTCTGTCTACACCACAAGCACGGTCTGCCTTTACAGTGTCTACATCACAAGCACAGTCTACAGTGTCTACACCACAAGCACAGTCTACAGTGTCTACACCACAAGCACAGTCTGCCTCTACAGTGTCTACATCACAAGCACAGTCTGCCTCTACAGTGACTACATCACAAGCACAGTCTACAGTGTCTACATCACAAGCACAGTCTGCCTCTACAGTGTCTACATAACAAGCACAGTCTGCCTCTACAGTGTCTACATCACAAGCACAGTCTGCCTCTACAGTGTCTACATCCCAAGCACAGTCTGCCTCTACAGTGTCTACATCACAAGCACAGTCTACAGTGTCTACATCACAAGCACAGTCTGCCTCTACAGTGTCTACATCACAAGCACAGTCTGCCTCTACAGTGTCTACATCACAAGCACAGTCTGCCTCTACAGTGTCTACATCACAAGCACAGTCTACAGTGTCTACATCACAAGCACAGTCTGCCTCTACAGTGTCTACATCACAAGCAGTCTACAGTGTCTACATCACAAGCACAGTCTGCCTCTACAGTGTCTACATCACAAGCACAGTCTGCCTCTACAGTGTCTACATCACAAGCACAGTCTGCCTCTACAGTGACTACATCACAAGCACAGTCTACAGTGTCTACATCAAAAGCACAGTCTGCCTCTACAGTGTCTACATCACAAGCACGGTCTGCCTCTACAATGTCTACATCACAAGCACAGTCTGCCTCTACAGTGTCTACATCACAAGCACAGTCTGCCTCTACAGCGTCTACATCACAAGCACAGTCTGCCTCTACAGTGTCTACATCACAAGCACAGTCTGCCTCTACAGTGTCTACATCACAAGCACAGTCTACAGTGTCTACATCACAAACACAGTCTACAGTGTCTACATCACAAACACAGTCTGCCTCTACAGTGTCTACATCACAAGCACAGTCTACAGTGTCTACATCACAAACACAGTCTACAGTGTCTACATCACAAGCACGGTCTGCCTCTACAGTGTCTACATCACAAGCACGGTCTGCCTCTACAGTGTCTACATCACAAGCACAGTCTGCCTCTACAGTGTCTACATCACAAGCACAGTCTACAGTGTCTACATCACAAGCACAGTCTGCCTCTACAGTGTCTACATCACAAGCACAGTCTGCCTCTACAGTGTCTACATCACAAGCACAGTCTACAGTGTCTACATCACAAACACAGTCTACAGTGTCTACATCACAAACACAGTCTGCCTCTACAGTGTCTACATCACAAGCACAGTCTACAGTGTCTACATCACAAACACAGTCTACAGTGTCTACATCACAAGCACAGTCTGCCTCTACAGTGTCTACATCACAAACACAGTCTACAGTGTCTACATCACAAACACAGTCTACAGTGTCTACATCACAAGCACAGTCTGCCTCTACAGCATCTACATCACAAGCACAGTCTGCCTCTACAATGTCTACATCACAAACACAGTCTGCCTCTACAGTGTCTACATCACAAGCACAGTCTACAGTGTCTACATCACAAGCACAGTCTGCCTCTACAGTGTCTACATCACAAACACAGTCTGCCTCTACAGTGTCTACATCACAAGCACAGTCTACAGTGTCTACATCACAAACACAGTCTACAGTGTCTACATCACAAACACAGTCTGCCTCAACAGTGTCTACATCACAAGCACAGTCTACAGTGTCTACATCACAAGCACAGTCTGCCTCTACAGCGTCTACATCACAAGCACAGTCTACAGTGTCTACATCACAAGCACAGTCTGCCTCTACAGCGTCTACATCACAAGCACAGTCTACAGTGTCTACATCACAAACACAGTCTACAGTGTCTACATCACAAGCACAGTCTGCCTCTACAGTGTCTACATCACAAGCACAGTCTGCCTCTACAGTGTCTACATCACAAGCACAGTCTGCCTCTACAGTGTCTACATCACAAGCACAGTCTGCCTCTACAATGTCTACATCACAAGCACAGTCTACAGTGTCTACATCACAAACACAGTCTACAGTGTCTACATCACAAGCACAGTCTACAGTGTCTACATCACAAGCACAGTCTACAGTGTCTACATCACAAACACAGTCTGCCTCTACAATGTTTACATCACAAGCACAATCTACAGTGTCTACATCACAAGCACAGTCTGCCTCTACAGTGTCTACATCACAAGCACGGTCTGCCTCTACAGTGTCTACATCACAAGCACAGTCTGCCTCTACAGTGTCTACATCACAAGCACAGTCTGCCTCTACAATGTCTACATCACAAACACAGTCTGCCTCTACAGTGTCTACATCACAAGCACAGTCTACAGTGTCTACATCACAAGCACAGTCTGCCTCTACAGTGTCTACATCACAAACACAGTCTGCCTCTACAGTGTCTACATCACAAGCACAGTCTACAGTGTCTACATCACAAACACAGTCTACAGTGTCTACATCACAAACACAGTCTGCCTCAACAGTGTCTACATCACAAGCACAGTCTACAGTGTCTACATCACAAGCACAGTCTGCCTCTACAGCGTCTACATCACAAGCACAGTCTACAGTGTCTACATCACAAGCACAGTCTGCCTCTACAGCGTCTACATCACAAGCACAGTCTACAGTGTCTACATCACAAACACAGTCTACAGTGTCTACATCACAAGCACAGTCTGCCTCTACAGTGTCTACATCACAAGCACAGTCTGCCTCTACAGTGTCTACATCACAAGCACAGTCTGCCTCTACAGTGTCTACATCACAAGCACAGTCTGCCTCTACAATGTCTACATCACAAGCACAGTCTACAGTGTCTACATCACAAGCACAGTCTACAGTGTCTACATCACAAGCACAGTCTACAATGTCTACATCACAAACACAGTCTACAGTGTCTACATCACAAGCACAGTCTACAGTGTCTACATCACAAGCACAGTCTACAGTGTCTACATCACAAGCACAGTCTGCCTCTACAATGTCTACATCACAAGCACGGTCTGTTTTGATTGGTACATGGATAGGCTGACAGATTGACTGAAGACAACACCGATGCTTTGACTGCTGTGTAATAGTGGCAGCACTGATCTCTTCTGACTAGAAGAAAGGACTGCATATCTTCCACAAGCTATGTCAGTGTGCTGTCCTTAGGGTTTGTGGGATCAGCTGAGAGTCAACAGCTGCAGACATTTCCTGCCAAATGTATTGATCACTGTTACCTGTATCTGAACATTTGAACAGGCTAAGTTCAACATGCAGCAGATATCAGATAAAAATAAATACTGCCAAAACTAAAGTCATGCAGGCCAGCAGAATGTCTAGTCCGCTACATATCGTGTTGAAGCAAGTTAAAGAATTTAAATATCTAGGAAGCACATTCTTGGAGGATGGAAGAATAGATCAGGAAATAGAAACAAGATGCCAATGAGCCAGTGCACTTTTATACCAAATGACACCATAATTATGACATCCAAACATAAGTTATGAGCACCGAGAAACATAATAAAGAGGCATTTTCATACCAACACTGTGCTACCAGTGCCAGACTTGGACATTATCAAAGACTAGACAAATTAACACCTGTGAAATCAGATGCCTGAGAAAAGCTGCCAGCTGAAGCATCGGAGACAAAGTTAGAACTGATATTATCAGACAGACTCTAGGAACAACACACAGCATGCAGCAAATTCATGGAGAAACTGAATATCAAATGGTTTGATTATTGTAGTAAGAATGCAGCCAAAACAGCAACCAATGCAGGTGCTACACATGACAGGATCTGAAGTGAAAGCAAGAGGCCATCCAAGGAGGCTATGGATTGATGACATTAAAGAACTTCTACATCGACACGGAATGACAGTAGCCATTGCTGCCCTTCAAGCCATGGATCGCAAACTGTTCCTCCCCACAAAGCTTAATGACAGAAGTGTAAACTGATGATGATGATGATGACATGTCTAAGGATGCCTGTGTTTATACCCTTCACTAAAGTGTCATATAGCTGCTACACAGGAAGGTTCTGTGAGTTGTTATAATGTCCCACATATTTGTGTGTGTGTGTGTGTGTGTGTGTATGCATGTGTACTGTGTAGACTATGTCCTGATATTTGTGTGTGTGTGTGTGTGTGTGCATGCATGTGTACTGTGTAGACTATGTCCTGATATTTGTGTGTGTGTGTGTGTGTGTGCATGCATGTGTACTGTGTAGACTATGTCCTGATATGTGTGTGTGTGTGTGTGTGTGCATGCATGTATATTATGTAGACTATGTCCTGATATTTGTGTGTGTGTGTGTGTGTGTGTGCAAGCATGTATACTGTGTAGACTATGTCCTGATATTTGTGTGTGTGTGTGTGTGTGTGTGTATGCATGTATACTGTGTAGACTATGTCCTGATATTTGTGTGTGTGTGTGTGTGTGTGTGTGTGTGTGCATGCATGTGTACTGTGTAGACTATGTCCTGATATTTGTGTGTGTGTGTGTGTGTGCATGCATGTATACTGTGTAGACTATGTCCTGATATTTGTGTGTGTGTGTGTGTGTGTGTGTGTGTGTGTGTGTGTGTGTGCATGCATGTATACTGTGTAGACTATGTCCTGATATTTGTGTGTGTGTGTGTGTGTGTGTGTGTGTGTGTGTGTGTGTGTGTGTGCATGCCTGTGTTTCTGTGTGTGTGTTCTACATACAAGACTATGGAGGTCATCATGTCCTGGTGTTATTGTGTGTGTGCGCGTGCATGCGTGGGTGGCTGTGTGCGTGCGCACGATCATGTCCTGATATCTGTAAGACCTGACACACACCAGTCCTGCCCAAGATGAGAAGGAAGCAAATACTGAAATGTTGCCTGGTTTGTGTTCAGTTTCAGAAGACAGAAAAAACAAAACAGACAATTAATTCACTGACACAAATATACCTCACAGAACTGAAGTACACTGACACAAATATACCTCACAGAACTGAAGTACACTGACACAAATATACCACACAGAACTAATGTACACTGACACATATATACCTCATAGAACTGAAGTACACAGACACAAATATACCACACAGAACTGAAGTACACTGACACAAATATACCACATAGAACTGAAGTACACTGACACAAATATACCTCACAGAAGTGAAGTACACTAACACAAATATACCTCACAGAACTAAAGTACACTGACACAAATATACCTCACAGAACTGAAGTACACTGACACAAATATACCTCACAGAACTGAAGTACACTGACACAAATTTACCTCACAGAAGTGAAGTACACTGACACAAATATACCACACAGAACTAAAGTACACTAACACAAATATACCTCACAGAACTAAAGTACACTAACACAAATATACCTCACAGAACTAAAGTACACTAACACAAATATACCTCACAGAACTAAAGTACACTAACACAAATATACCTCACAGAACTAAAGTACACTAACACAAATATACCTCACAGAACTAAAGTACACTAACACAAATATACCTCACAGAACTAAAGTACACTAACACAAATATACCTCACAGAACTAAAGTACACTAACACAAATATACCTCACAGAACTAAAGTACACTAACACAAATATACCTCACAGAACTAAAGTACACTGACACAAATATACCTCACAGAACTAAAGTACACTAACACAAATATACCTCACAGAACTGAAGTACACTGACACAAATATACCTCACAGAACTGAAGTACACTAACACAAATATACCTCACAGAGCTGAAGTTCACTGACACAAATATACCTCACAGAACTGAAGTACACTGACACAAATATACCTCACAGAACTGAAGTACACTGACACAAATATACCTCACAGAACTGAAGTACACTGACACAAATATATCTCACAGAACTGAAGTACACTAACACAAATATACCTCACAGAACTGAAGTACACTGACACAAATATACTTCACAGAACTGAAGTTCACTGACACAAATATACCTAACAGAACTAAAGTACACTAACACAAATATACCTCACAGAACTAAAGTACACTGACACAAATATGCCTCACAGAACTGAAGTACACTGACACAAATATACCTCACAGAACTGAAGTAATAACTTAGAGAACCTACCTCTATAAAAGGACTCATCAAAATCTTGGATCTTGGCAAAGTTTCTAGGGAAATGTTGAGGAAATGTGTTCACAAACTGAGCGCTCACTGCCAGTCAAGCCACAACAGCTTTGGGTACAGGGCGGCAGATAGATGACTGCATAACACACGTACAATATGTTGTGTGCATGTTTCAGTAGACTGTGGACAGTAACTGGACAACACACGTACAATATGTTGTGTGCATGTGACAGTAGCCTGTGGACAGTAACTGGACAACACACGTACAATATGTTGTGTGCATGTGACAGTAGCCTGTGGACAGTAACTGGACAACACATCTACAATATGTTGTGTGCATGTGTCAGTAGACTGTGGACAGTAACTGGACAACACACGTACAATATGTTGCGTGCATGTGACAGTAGACTGTGGACAGTAACTGGACAACACACGTACAATATGTTGTGTGCATGTGTCAGTAGCCTGTGGACAGTAACTGGACAACACACATACAATATGTTGTGTGCATGTGTCAGTAGACTGTGGACAGTAACTGGACAACACACATACAATATGTTGTGTGCATGTGTCAGTAGACTGTGAACAGTAACTGGACAACACACGTACAATATGTTGTGTGCATGTGACAGTAGCCTGTGGACAGTAACTGGATAACACATCTACAATATGTTGTGTGCATGTGTCAGTAGACTGTGAACAGTAACTGGACAACACATCTACAATATGTTGTGTGCATGTGTCAGTAGACTGTGGACAGTAACTGGACAACACATCTACAATATGTTGTGTGCATGTGTCAGTAGACTGTGGACAGTAACTGGACAACACACGTACAATATGTTGTGTGCATGTGACAGTAGCCTGTGGACAGTACCTGGACAACACACGTACAATATGTTGTGTGCATGTTTCAGTAGACTGTGGACAGTAACTGGACAACACACGTACAATATGTTGTGTGCATGTGTCAGTAGACTGTGGACAGTAACTGGACAACACACGTACAATATGTTGTGTGCATGATTCAGTAGACTGTGGACAGTAACTGGACAACACACATACAATATGTTGTGTGCATGTTTCAGTAGACTGTGAACAGTAACTGGACAACACACATACAATATGTTGTGTGCATGTGACAGTAGACTGTGAACAGTAACTGGACAACACACGTACAATATGTTGTGTGCATGTGACAGTAGACTGTGGACAGTAACTGGACAACCCACGTACAATATGTTGTGTGCATGTGACAGTAGACTGTGGACAGTAACTGGACAACACACGTACAATATGTTGTGTGCATGTGACAGTAGACTGTGGACAGTAACTGGACAACACACATACAATATGTTGTGTGCATGTTTCAGTAGACTGTGGACAGTAACTGGACAACACATATACAATATGTTGTGTGCATGTTTCAGTAGACTGTGGACAGTAACTGGACAACACACGTACAATATGTTGTGTGCATGTGACAGTAACCTGTGGACAGTACCTGGACAACACACGTACAATATGTTGTGTGCATGTTTCAGTAGACTGTGGACAGTAACTGGACAACACACGTACAATATGTTGTGTGCATGTGTCAGTAGACTGTGGACAGTAACTGGACAACACACGTACAATATGTTGTGTGCATGATTCAGTAGACTGTGGACAGTAACTGGACAACACACATACAATATGTTGTGTGCATGTTTCAGTAGACTGTGAACAGTAACTGGACAACACACATACAATATGTTGTGTGCATGTGACAGTAGACTGTGAACAGTAACTGGACAACACACGTACAATATGTTGTGTGCATGTGTCAGTAGACTGTGAACAGTAACTGGACAACACACATACAATATGTTGTGTGCATGTTTCAGTAGACTGTGGACAGTAACTGGACAACACACGTACAATATGTTGTGTGCATGTGACAGTAGACTGTGGACAGTAACTGGACAACACACATACAATATGTTGTGTGCATGTGTCAGTAGACTGTGGACAGTAACTGGACAACACACGTACAATATGTTGTGTGCATGTGTCAGTAGACTGTGGACAGTAACTGGACAACACACGTACAATATGTTGTGTGCATGTGACAGTAGACTGTGGACAGTAACTGGACAACACACATACAATATGTTGTGTGCATGTTTCAGTAGACTGTGAAAAGTAACTGGACAACACACATACAATATGTTGTGTGCATGTTTCAGTAGACTGTGGACAGTAACTGGACAACACACGTACAATATGTTGTGTGCATGTGACAGTAGACTGTGGACAGTAACTGGACAACACACATACAATATGTTGTGTGCATGTGACAGTAGACTGTGGACAGTAACTGGACAACACACGTACAATATGTTGTGTGCATGTTTCAGTAGACTGTGGACAGTAACTGGACAACACATCTACAATATGTTGTGTGCATGTGACAGTAGACTGTGGACAGTAACTGGACAACACACGTACAATATGTTGTGTGCATGTGACAGTAGACTGTGGACAGTAACTGGACAACACACATACAATATGTTGTGTGCATGTTTCAGTAGACTGTGGACAGTAACTGGACAACACATATACAATATGTTGTGTGCATGTTTCAGTAGACTGTGGACAGTAACTGGACAACACACGTACAATATGTTGTGTGCATAGACTGTGACAGTAGCCTGTGGACAGTACAGTAGACTGTGGACAGTAACTGGACAACACACGTACAATATGTTGTGTGCATGTTTCAGTAGACTGTGGACAGTAACTGGACAACACACGTACAATATGTTGTGTGCATGTGTCAGTAGACTGTGGACAGTAACTGGACAACACACGTACAATATGTTGTGTGCATGTTCAGTAGTAACTGACAACACACTGTGGACAGTAACTGTGGACTGGACAACACACGTACAATATGTTGTGTGCATGTTTCAGTAGACTGTGGACAGTAACTGGACAACACACATACAATATGTTGTGTGCATGTGACAGTAGACTGTGGACAGTAACTGGACAACACACGTACAATATGTTGTGTGCATGTGTCAGTAGACTGTGAACAGTAACTGGACAACACACACGTACAATATGTTGTGTGCATGTTTCAGTAGACTGTGGACAGTAACTGGACAACACACGTACAATATGTTGTGTGCATGTTTCACTGTGGACAGTACTGGACAACACACGTACTGTGGACAGTAACTGTTGTGTGACAGTAACAACACACGTACAATATGTTGTGTGCATGTGTCAGTAGACTGTGGACAGTAACTGGACAACACACGTACAATATGTTGTGTGCATGTTTCAGTAGACTGTGGACAGTAACTGGACAACACACGTACAATATGTTGTGTGCATGTGACAGTAGACTGTGGACAGTAACTGGACAACACACATACAATATGTTGTGTGTGCATGTTTCAGTAGACTGTGGACAGTAACTGGACAACACACGTACAATATGTTGTGTGCATGTTTCAGTAGACTGTGGACAGTAACTGGGACAATAACACACGTACACTGGACAACACATATATGTTGTGTGCATGTGACAGTAGACTGTGGACAGTAACTGGACAACACACGTACAATATGTTGTGTGCATGTGACAGTAGACTGTGGACAGTAACTGGACAACACAGTACAATATGTTGTGGCACAGTAGACAGTAACTGGACAACACACGTACAATATGTTGTGTGCATGTTTCAGTAGACTGTGGACAGTAACTGGACAACACACGTACAATATGTTGTGTGCATGTGTCAGTAGACTGTGGACAGTAACTGGACAACACACGTACAATATGTTGTGTGCATGTTTCAGTAGACACAATATGTTGTGTGCATGTGTCAGTAGACTGTGGACAGTAACTGGACAACACACGTACAATATGTTGTGTGCATGTGACAGTAGACTGTGGACAGTAACTGGACAACACACGTACAATATGTTGTGTGCATGTTTCAGTAGACTGTGGACAGTAACTGGACAACACACGTACAATATGTTGTGTGCATGTTTCAGTAGACTGTGGACAGTAACTGGACAACACACGTACAATATGTTGTGTGCATGTTTCAGTAGACTGTGGACAGTAACTGGACAACACACGTACAATATGTTGTGTGGACAGTAGACTGTGGACAGTAACTGGACAACACACGTACAATATGTTGTGTGCATGTTTCAGTAGACTGTGGACAGTAACTGGACAACACACGTACAATATGTTGTGTGCATGTGCAGTGACTGTGGACAGTAGACTGTGGACAGTAACTGGACAACACACGTACAATATGTGTGTGTGCAGACTGTGGACAGTAACTGGACAACACACGTACAGTAGACTGACTGTGGACAGTAACTGGACAACACACGTACAATATGTTGTGTGCATGTTTCAGTAGACTGTGGACAGTGTACAATATGTTGTGTGCATGTGACAGTAGACTGTGGACAGTAACTGGACAACACACGTACAATATGTTGTGTGCATGTGACAGTAGACTGTGGACAGTAACTGGACAACACACGTACAATATGTTGTGTGCATGTGACAGTAGACTGTGGACAGTAACTGGACAACACACGTACAATATGTTGTGTGCATGTTTCAGTAGACTGTGGACAGTAACTGGACAACACACGTACAATATGTTGTGTGCATGTGACAGTAGACTGTGGACAGTAACTGGACAACACACGTACAATATGTTGTGTGCATGTGACAGTAGACTGTGGACAGTAACTGGACAACACACGTACAATATGTTGTGTGCATGTTTCAGTAGACTGTGGACAGTAACTGGACAACACACGTACAATATGTTGTGTGCATGTGACAGTAGACTGTGGACAGTAACTGGACAACACACGTACAATATGTTGTGTGCATGTTTCAGTAGACTGTGGACAGTAACTGGACAACACACGTACAATATGTTGTGTGCATGTTTCAGTAGACTGTGGACAGTAACTGGACAACACACGTACAATATGTTGTGTGCATGTGACAGTAGACTGTGGACAGTAACTGGACAACACACGTACAATATGTTGTGTGCATGTGACAGTAGACTGTGGACAGTAACTGGACAACACACGTACAATATGTTTGTGTGCATGTGGACAGTAACTCAGTAGACTGTGGACAGTAACTGGACAACACACGTACAATATGTTGTGTGCATGTGACAGTAGACTGTGGACAGTAACTGGACAACACACGTACAATATGTTGTGTGCATGTGACAGTAGACTGTGGACAACACAGTACAAACATGTCAGTAGACTGTGGACAGTAACTGGACAACACACGTACAATATGTTGTGTGCATGTGTCAGTAGACTGTGGACAGTAACTGGACAACACACGTACAATATGTTGTGTGCATGTGACAGTAGACTGTGGACAGTAACTGGACAACACACGTACAATATGTTGTGTGCATGTGACAGTAGACTGTGGACAGTAACTGGACAACACACGTACATATGCATGTTGTGTGCATGACAACACAGTAGACAGTGACTGTGGACAGTAACTGGACAACACACGTACAATATGTTGTGTGCATGTGTCAGTAGACTGTGGACAGTAACTGGACAACACACGTACAATATGTTGTGTGCATGTGACAGTAGACTGTACACGACTGCATGTGACAGTAGACTGTGGACAGTAACTGGACAACACACGTACAATATGTTGTGTGCATGTGTCAGTAGACTGTGGACAGTAACTGGACAACACACGTACAATATGTTGTGTGCATGTGTCAGTAGCCTGTGGACAGTAACTGGACAACACACGTACAATATGTTGTGTGCATGTGACAGTAGCCTGTGGACAGTAACTGGACAACCCAAGTACAATATGTTGTGTGCATGTGACAGTAGACTGTGGACAGTAACTGGACAACACACATACAATATGTTGTGTGCATGTGACAGTAGACTGTGGACAGTAACTGGACAACACACATACAATATGTTGTGTGCATGTGACAGTAGACTGCGGACAGTAACTGGACAACACACATACAATATGTTGTGTGCATGTGACAGTAGACTGTGGACAGTAACTGGACAACACACATACAATATGTTGTGTGCATGTGTCAGTAGACTGTGGACAGTAACTGGACAACACACATACAATATGTTGTGTGCATGTGACAGTAGACTGTGGACAGTAACTGGACAACACACATACAATATGTTGTGTGCATGTGACAGTAGACTGTGGACAGTAACTGGACAACCCAAGTACAATATGTTGTGTGCACGTTTCAGTAGACTGTGGACAGTAACTGGACAACCCAAGTACAATATGTTGTGTGCACGTTTCAGCACCCTGCTGACAGTGATTGCCATTTCTCTTTCTATCCCAATCATATTCTACCCCCACATCAGCCGCCTGGGGAGAGATTTCAATTTCTTCAACTGTGCAGTCACATGAAAACATGCTCACACATATGCAAACTTAACCTGAATTTACACTCAGATACTACTCATAAAAGTCACCCCACCTCATCAGCCATGAGATTTCTCAGTGGTTCATTCTAACGGGCTGTTTTATGTTCTAGGGTTGTTATGAGATGTTTTGCATCGTTGTCTTTACAAACCGTGTCAAAAAGTGGCTTAGGTTCACTGTCTCCCAGACAAAAATGGGCAGCTTTCTTTTCGTAGCTATCTTCTTTGTGAAGGAGTGTTTTTCTGGAATGTGCTGTTGCTGTCTGTAGGTTTCAGGTGCCGAACACTCTAGTGTATATGGAAGAAGTACTGCAAGGGGGCAGGGGAAGCGCAAAAGGTGCGATGGTTCATGAGTATTAAATCGATGTTTTTGTATTTCTACGCTCACTGGCGGTGGCTGTCGACAGTGGCAGATGGCTTAAAATGTTCAAAACAAGGAATACATGACACAATTAGTCTATTGGAGTGTCCCAGGAAATTCCCTTTGAAATCTCATAGCTGATGAGATAGGGGTGACTTTTGTGGGTTGTGCCTACACTCAACCTTGGACTTTGGTTAGTCCATGGGAAACAAAGCTGGGATCTCAACAACTAAAGCAATACAATTATCTACACCTTGTCCATGTTCCCACAAGCAACCTGAACACAGGTCAAGGATACGGGGTCACCTTGCAGCCTGGCACTCTGGCATTGATGAAAGCTGCAGCCACGTCCGCCTTTGGTTTCCCAACATCCTTGGCACTGAGAAAATAGAAGTGATAGATTACAGACATATGTGTGTATGTGTGACTGTGTCTGTGTGTGGGTGTGTGACTGTGTCTGTGTGTGTGATTGTGTCTCTGTGTGTGTGCATGTGTATGTGTCATAGTGTAACTGCATCAGGTGTAGTCCCAGAAATTTGTGCCCACTAAATATTTGGTTTCATATAATATTTAATGCAGACTAATGGATAAGTCAGCAATGTGATTCGGTCTGTAAAAACAAGTCATTTTAGACTGCTAAGTACAAATACAGGAACACAAATTTTCAACCATGCTTTTCTTCCAGGTCTGCTCTTGAAGTTTTCTTCTTCCTCAACACTTCTGTCAGAAAACTTGTCAAAATCATCCCGTGTATACTGAACGACTTTATTCTGACTGAGAGGGAAACAGACCAGATGACCTCTCTATCAGCAGCATACAGTTCACAATGGTAGACTGGTAGTCTTAGTTTCAGCTTCATAGCAAACGGGTCATCCCATGGTTGCTCCGCTCCTGTGCCAACGAAAAAACACACTGAATGTTTATCACAGTCCCTTATGGAAAGATTGACAGACTTCTGTCTCAGCATATCTAGCATACATATCCATTAAAGCTTACGGTAGCCATCCGAAGTGTTAACACAAACAGTCCGACATTAGAAATGCAGTTCATCATTTATGGTAGAAGTCACCAACAGATCAGCAGTTGCCCACGCGATCAATTTTAATCATAAACGGGCACCAACAACATTGCGACAACAGGCATCGCGCCATTTTCTGAATCTACAATTCACACCACCATGCTGGTCACAGTCGAAAAAACAATCGAAATTAAATCCGCAGCTCACAGTGTCATGTCATGCATTCAACTCAGATGCTGGGCGACGAAACTATTTCCAGTCTACAAATGGTGCAAAAATGCATCGGCCACCGTCTGGCAGAAGCAAAAAATTTCTAGGTGGCAAGCTGCAGGGACACATTTCCCCATGTTCCTGAAGTTATTCTAGGGAAACTGATCCGGGGGTTTCCCCTTCGTATGACTGGTGATTGTGCAGGCATTATACAAATATTTGATTGTGTACAGTTTGTCCAAGCTAGAGAATGTTGCCAACATAGAAGCCAGTCACACCATAACTTGGATAAGTCAGTCAGTCAGTCAGTCAGTCACTCAATTACTGAGGGAACTATGTCTCTGGTATGAAGTAACCCTCTAATACTGTGTGGAGCAACATAACATGGAACACTCACTCAATTACTGAGGGAACTATGTCTCTGGTATGAAGGAACCCTCCACTACTGTGTGGAGCAACATAACATGGAACACTCACTCAATTACTGAGGGAACTATGTCTCTGGTATGAAGGAACCCTCCACTTCTGTGTGGAGCAACATAACATGGAACACTCACTCAATTACTGAGGGAACTATGTCTCTGGTATGAAGGAACCCTCCACTACTGTGTGGAGCAACATAACATGGAACAGTCACTCAATTACTGAGGGAACTATGTCTCTGGTATGAAGGAACCCTCCACTACTGTGTGGAGCAACATAACATGGAACAGTCACTCAATTACTGAGGGAACTATGTCTCTGGTATGAAGGAACCCTCCACTACTGTGTGGAGCAACATAACATGGAACAGTCACTCAATTACTGAGGGAACTATGTCTCTGGTATGAAGGAACCCTCCACTACTGTGTGGTGCAACATAACATGGAACAGTCCCTCAATTACTGAGGGAACTATGTCTCTGGTATGAAGGAACCCTCCACTACTGTGTGGAGCAACATAACATGGAACAGTCACTCAATTACTGAGGGAACTATGTCTCTGGTATGAAGGAACCCTCCACTACTGTGTGGTGCAACATAACATGGAACAGTCCCTCAATTACTGAGGGAACTATGTCTCTGGTATGAAGGAACCCTCCACTACTGTGTGAAGCAACATAACATGGAACAGTCACTCAATTACTGAGGGAACTATGTCTCTGGTATGAAGAAACCCTCCACTACTGTGTGGAGCAACATAACATGGAACAGTCCCTCAGTTACTGAGGGGAACTATGTCTCTGGTATGAAGGAACCCTCCACTACTGTGTCAAGTAACCTTATATGGACCAGTCAGTTAGTTACTGAGATTAGACAGTTCACTGTTTGTCCTACGACTACGACTATATTGAAATCTCTATATGACACAATCACCTACACAGGCTATTTGAAATACTAGTTGGCACAAGCAAAGTTTCTTTGGGACACCTATCAGCAACAAAGAGAATATAGTCACAAAGTGTTTAGTAACAGAAAGAATATGGTGAAGGAACACATGTACTCACCGGAACAGAAACTGCCGGTTCAAGTTCGAGACATCTATAGTGTCCATGTCAATTACATGAATATCTCGAAACCCCATCAATGCCTGCGCACACAAGAGACAACACAATCAGTAAAACTGCACACACAAGAGACACCACAATAAAAAAACATTTACTTTAGCTACAACTTTCAGAACATGTAACAAACACGGGTCCATCCACAAACTTATAAGTGATGAAGTTGGGCCAGGATACTGTGACTGGACGTTCATTTATGCATCTTAACCTTTGGGACACGCAAGTTTGAGTGGCAGGGGTATCAGCTTGGAGTGGCAGGGGTGTCAGCTTGGTGTGCCAGGTTGTATGCTGTCAACGGTCTTACTGGCGACCATATGTACTTTATGTTACAGGAAGTGAGCACTTTTAACTACTCCATAACATGTACAAACTGACAACAATCCTTACCCCCCTCCCCCCTCAGTGAACCTAGGTCCCACAAGACAGTGCATTCTACGTCCCGTGGTTTCAGACTTCTTAACATTTTGCAGTGACCCGCAAATTCTATGTTGCTGCAGAGGAGCAACTGTACCCTCATCGTCGCCCATCAACGCTGACAGCTGGAATAATTTCCTATTGAAAATCCTAGACGGCTGTCATATACCCACCAACAAACACTATTTCTACATACGAGTGAGAACGCTATATAGGCGGTGATGCTCACTGAAGTATGATTAAAATGAAAAGCAGAAAGCTTTGTGAATACAGCAGTACACTGGGACACCCCTGTAACATTGAGCAACGTTGATCAGCCTGAGCAAGCATCGATGAAAGGTCAGCTAGTGTGTAGATGGGCTCGAGTTCTTTATTAGTAATCAATTTTAAACCACCCCTCCCTCTTCCTCCCATGAGATGAACCTGTGTGACAATGACCTCACCCTCACCCTGCTTACTGTCCAACTGCTCACTGTCCAACAGATCACTAGTCTCACTATGTTACAACTGATGTCAGCATGAATGAGCCCTACACAGCACAGACAGACTAGACAGCACAGACAGACTAGACAGCACAGACAGACTACACAGCACTGACAGACTACACAGCACGGACAGACTAGACAGCACGGACAGACTAGACAGCACAGACAGACTAGACAGCACAGACAGACTACACAGCACAGACAGACTACACAGCACAGACAGACTAGACAGCACAGACAGACTAGACAGCACAGACAGACTACACAGCACGGACAGACTACACAGCACGGACAGACTACACAGCACGGACAGACTACACAGCACGGACAGACTACACAGCACGGACAGACTAGACAGCACAGACAGACTACACAGCTCAGACATACTACACAGCAGACAGACAGACTACACAGCACAGACAGACTACACAGCACAGACAGACTACACAGCACAGACAGACTAGACAGCACAGACAGACTACACAGCACAGACTACACAGCACAAACAGACTAGACAGCACAGACAGACTACACAGCACAGACAGACTAGACAGACTACACAGCACAGACAGACTACACAGCACAGACAGACTACACAGCACAGCTAGAACTGTCAGCTGCAGGGACTCATCATCAACATTAGAACAGACCTTCACATTACTTCCTGTGTGTTGTAGCTTCTCTGCCTGTGACTAGACACTTCCCTTTTGTGTGTTTGCCACTGACATTTGTTGGCAATGTTTTCTACAGTGGAGCCATGTTCAAGATGCTGACACGTTTTATCTGACACTTCAGCTATCAATAACAACAACAACAACAACAACAAAGCTCACCAAATCTTTGAGCAGCTCACATCCCAGGCCTCCAGCTCCAATCACCAAAATCTTGCAGGTCTCTTTGAGAAAAACCAAAGTCTGAAAAATCACAAACATCTCAGCTCAACTCTAGCAATCATCACATCCCAGCTTGGTCTACACAATCTTCTTGGTCTACACAATATTCTTGGTCTACACAATCTTCTTGGTCTACACAATCTTCAAAATGGCTAATGACCATTTTAATGGCTCTTATCATGTATATCTCCTGGCTCTCCATTTGTGAAGAGAATACTTAAATCATGTCCACAATTCTGCAATAAGTGTGACATTTGATTTGGTTTTTTTGTTCACCCAGCTACAGACCATTCGCCTATTTTAAACGCAGTTCATGTCCAGGTGTAAACTTGGGTGTTTGTCTATGTCTCAAGAGTGATGTCCTTGAATAAATTACAATGTCTATGTCTCAACAAGGTTGATGTCCATGAGTAAATTACAGTGTATATGTCTCAACAGCATTGATATTAACCTTGTGAGGGATGTGTACAAGGGTTTACAGAATACTGTACGACCTGTTCTTTTTTCATCCAACCAGACAGAAAATGCAGACAACAAAGTCTAACTGCTGTGGAGGCGGAGGTGTGGGCACTGATTATCGAGAATTTCCTAGAGGGGGATGATGTCATTTACAAAGATAGGTCTGTGATTCGCCATGTGATAAGTTTGTGGACTTTTACAGCTCAGGTCCGAAGGAGAGTTGTGAAGCAAGATTCTGGCGCTGTTGCCTTGACAACAAGTAGTCTGACTATGGAGGTCATGGCAGTGACCAAAGCAATAGCATGGCTGGAGACACAGACTTTCACCCACACATGCTTTTTCAGTAACTCGATAAGTATGCTCAGGAGAATAGAGATGGGCTGGATCTAAAGACAATGGTTGGGGTCTCTAGGGTGGACGGAACTGACCAAGATAGTTTTAATTTTTGTGCCAAGGCATCGAGGCGTGTAAGGAAATGAGCAAGCTGATAAGCTTGCAGGTAAGGTTACTGTGAAGGATGGACAAGCCATAGACTTCAAGAACAACATTTTAAAAGCAGCGTGGCAGAGAACAGCACTATGCAGGAAGCCAAAGAAGAATAAGAAGCCAATGCTGAACTGGTGTCATCAGCTTTTACATTCTGCGGGATTTACTGAGAAGAAGATCTGAGCACTTATGGACATAATGGTTTGTTTGATGTACAATAAAGATAATCTTTCAACTAACCATTAGAATTCACTTTGTCAACACTGATCAATGTCATGTTTTGTCAACACTGGTCAATGTCATGTTTTGTCAGAATTTATGACAAATCTATCTTTTTTCCCCACCCACGCTCACACACAGAGCAAAGAAACAGTTCAATTTTAATTCTTCAGTAAGACTGGTGGGTGACTATTTGTCAGCTTTGTCCGTCACAATGCTGCGCATTCAATAAAAGTATAAATTAAAGACCTGTACTAAATTACTTCCAGGAATATGTGGAAGTCTGTATGACAGATGACGTGAAATTGAAAAGACTATGTCAATTACAGGATGGAAGTCTGAGGAAATGTAATTAACAAAAGATATTGCCTGTATTGGTTCTGGGGCCTCATTGGGGAAAGGGGCCTCATTGGGGAAAGCGGATAGAGAAACTGCCCTCTAACAAGCATGTCCTAAAGGGTAACTAACTAGAGTTTATTTTCTTCAAAGACGGAGTGCATCAAACATTTGGGCTGAAAGTGAACAACCACAAGTCTACATTACAATTAGTTGAATAGCAAATAAGCTATAAGCTAAGCCAGCATATGTGTAACTAACTGTATGTAACAGTAACAGTAACTACTAAGCAACCAACGATGTACATGCAAAACTCAAGTTCTAGTACACCATTGGTCCGAACTTTCACTAGCTGGCGTTTACAGTCGCTAAACGCTAAGAAGAAGACTAACGACATGTCTGCTGTAAACAAACAAACAATTCTGAGTTCAATCACTTACTTCAGGCGACGGCTCGAAGTCTGGATGCGCAAAAGGTCCCGTTCGTTCCAGAATTTTTTTCACATGATCCCAGCGGCCCGGCCACTCTACCTCTGCAGTCATTTCCTGGTGTTTCGCGTAGCTTCTCTCAGAACTGGAAGGTAAACGATCAGACGCTGGATCAAGTGACAAACCAGAATAAATGCGAAGATATTGCCTGAGAGATGTCCTCAAGCCGCAAGTATCAGAATTCGTCTGCTCAATCAGAAGGTTGCGGATCGTCAACAGAGTAGCGTCCCTTGTGTCCGGGAGCGGCCAGTGTCCGTGTTGTTGTTTTAGGGGGGGGGGCGCTGATAATGAGGAGGAGGAGGATGATAACAATAGGCAAATCCACAAACAACTAATCTTGAGCCAACTTGATGCTGCCACTTGGCCTTCTATCCAAATGTATGCGCACAAAATTATAATAACAGAGATTGAATGTCCTTGAAGAACTGCCAGGGTGACAAGAAAAAAAAAACGCTACCAGAAATTAGAAGAAATGAAAGAACTCTTTCCCGCTGTGAATTTGGAAATTGTTCGATGAGCTGTTTTTTTAACATGATCCCCAAACACACACGCGCGCGCGCAGTAAAAAAAAAAAGGCTCTCAAATGAAACATTTTGTGAAATTGTTACTGTAGTAGGACTTGATGAGATGCAGTGAAATGTGTCAGGCAATACTTTTTGCAATCTATTATTTGTGTTTTCATTGTTCAGGTCAGAAGAAGCCTAGGCCTGAACAAGTCAGACAGTTTATGAACGAGCAATATATGAGAAGCTTTGGCCATCTGACAAGATGGCCTAGAAACAACGGCCATGGACAGCGAAACACCCCAAAAACACAGAAGAAGGGGAAGATCAACAGAACATGGAACGATAGCGTCACGAACAGGCTGAAGAAATGATAACCACCTGATGCAATTCATAGGAAAGAGCACGTTGAGATTCCTGACACCCCCATTCCCAGTCTGTTATATGGAGGCAATGAAGAAGATGCTAATGTTGATGTTCCTTGTGAGGTTCTTGAGGTCAACGGGGGGGGGGGGGGGAATAATAGGGGAAAAAAGGGGGGGGCCAGAGGAATATGTCATTATCATTGAAGACAAATTAGGGAAGAATAAACAGACACGTGTAGAGATATAGGTAAACTTGGGAAGTGATCAGCTATAAGGAATACAATCAGGGGCGTGACTTTAGTAGTATAGAGGTTAATTACGAGCATCATTTTGTGGGCGTAGTCGTAATACAATCTCAGTCCACCGCAACTCTGTATACCCTTAGTCAACCGCCAGACAGAGCGGTGGAGATCACTTCCGGTTTGGCTATATTTAGATCAGAGGTAACCAGCTGGTGCAGGCGAGGTTCTGATGGGGCCTCGTAGCAGGGACCTTGTGAGGGACATCCTTGTTTGGGGCATCTATGAACGTATTAGGTACCTCATTAGGCGGCCTCTCATTGTGGTTCTCCATTAGCCTTTGTTATTTTCTTTTCCTTCCTTATCCTGACAAACACAGCTTGTGTATTGTTAGACAAGAAATAGCTATACGTTCGAACTAAAAAACATTAGGTTTAACAGACATATATAACAAATAACCATAAATAGTTGTGTGCTAGCGAAAAAAAAAGCAAAGAAAAACATGAAGTAGGTGGATAATGGAAAAGAAATATGGCTAGGACAAAGTGTAGTAGTTTTCCCCTGAACAGCAAAAACAGAAAAAAAAGACGCTGGGTTCTTTTATGCAGGGGCCACGTAATATTTAATCCTAGCCCTGGCGATGAATATGTGAGCTACACAACTACAACAGAAAGTGACTATACACACCTAGATCAACCACGTACATGGACTACAAATTCTATCTTGAATCAAGAAAATGAATTATAATTATCAACTTCAACATCCGTTTGTTTTTTCACTGAACACAGAATTAACGTACATTTCACAGATACCATTACATTAACAACCATCCCCGTGCTCGACTAGTATTTAAAGGGCAAATCCTCTCCAGCTACGTAAGAAATAGGATATTGAACGCATACGTTCAGAAAACTTACATCAGTGATGGCACAAATCGAAACATTTTAACATGTGCATTAAATTTCAACATACCATCAGATCTGTAAATGTTTATAGTGACCACCGATCAAACTATCTCTAAACTAGAATGCACAATAGAAATCTAGGTCTACAGCTACTAGAGAAATGTTATATTTAAGTGAAAGAATACGCCACCTCCATAATCACCAAGCGTGACTATTTCGGCTCGGACAATTGCACCGGTGGTGCGATGGGACCACGTTCGATCAGTATCACAAACACTGAACAACTGAGAGAGAGGTGCAGGATCTGGATCTTGATATAGTAAAAAAAAAAAATTATTTCCATTTCAGCCAGCTCCTAAAATGAGCAGCGGCTTTTTCTTGACTTCGTTTTTTTTTTTTTTTCTGCGTATGGTGACGCTTGTTTGTTTCCAGTTTATTTGTTAGGTGATACTGTCTCCTGATTTGTATCTGTGTATAGGGAGGGGATCGTAAATTGCCCTAAAAAAAGTAGTTTGTTTGCCTGGGGCGGCACTGGAACGGGAGTGGGCGGAAGTGACTTGCGTGGTCGATCATCATGCCTATCTGGTCTCGAGCTGGGAGGTTTCTTCGGTCCGGTGAGCTGGTTAGTCGGACTGTCATGGCCGCTTGGGTAGATTCCATTGGTGGTTGTTTCTGATGCTGGTTGTGGCTTCTTCTGCCTGATGTGTATTTTTTGGGTTTCCTTGGCATCGTTGTGTTAGTCTGGCGCTGCTTTTGTGTTTCCTGATCGAACAGTCGTTTGGTGGCTGTTTTCATTTTTTTTTTAAAGTTAGAGGAACCAGTCTCGTCTGGCTTGGCTTTCTAGGTTTTCCTGGCTTTCGTTGAATACTCGATTTTAATTCACCTGCAGTCTGTGAAACATTTGCTATTAATTTTCAGGTTTCTTTTTTTCGGCCACGCTGATGTGGTTTTCTTTTTCAGCGCATCATGGTCATATACTGTGAATACTCGATTTTAATTCACCTGCAGTCTGTGCAGAAACATTTGCTATTAATTTTCAGATTAAGTTCTTGTACTTCGGCCACGCTGATGTGGTTTTCGGTAACCGTCTCAGGGCATTTTTGACTGTTTTAATTTGTGAATCGGACTTCTCTGACTGTTTCGGTGCTTTGATCTTCGATTATGGTGGGATCTGTCAGTAGTGCCTGGTGTCTCGTGGCTATCACTTTAGTGACTGTGCTCTTGTCATCCTTCTGTGCTAACTTCACTGTCGTAGTGCTCTTGTCAGCCTTGCTGATTTTTGGTTTCTTTGCGGCTTTCTCTCTTTCGTCCTGTAACCGGGCGCACTCTGTTCTGGCTGCCATCTCAGCCGCTTCTGCTTCTGCTTTAACCTGCACTAGTCGTTGACGTCTCTGTAGGCTTCCTCTCTCGCCTCTTTCAGCATCTCTCTGCTTCTCTCCTCTCTCTCTCTCTCTCTCTTTCTCTCTCTCTCTCGCTCTCTCTCTCTCTCTCTCTCTCTCTCTCTCTCTCTCTCTCTCTCTCTCTCTCTCCTTCTGTCTGCGTCGTTGGTCTGCTAAATGAGCCGCTTCCAACCTTGTGATTAAAGCGCAGGCGCTTTCGTTAGTTTTTGCGGCTTCTTTCTGGTTTTCGTTGAGTAGGTTAGTCTGCGTTAGCCTGTCGTCTTTCATGGCTTTTTTTTCTCCCAGATAAGGTCGAGCGTCTCTGCTCTTTCTGCTGCTTTCGTCTTCTATAGCTCATATCTCAGTTCTGAAACTTCGAGATCCATGGTGGCAACATTCGACTCCTCATGTGTTCTGTTTTTTGCTAGAGAGGCGGACTGGCTTCTCGACTGGTTTGTGAAGTTCGGTCTGGTTGGTCTGGGCGCCTCGTACCTCTGCGAGTAACTGAAGCCGGCAGTGGACAAAGCCCTTTTTCTCTCTTTAAGATAAGGGCAGCCCAGGTATCTTGCACACTGTGTGTGTCTGTGTGTGTGTGTCTGTGTGTGTGTGTCTGTGTGTGTGTGTCTGTGTGTGTGTGTCTGTGTGTGTGTGTCTGTGTGTGTGTTTGTGTTCTGTGTGTGTGTGTGTGTGTGCCAGTGCAGTTGAAGCACCTTCTGTTAGTATTCGGTCTCTTAAAGTCCTGGTCAACTTTAGCCAGGGGGCACTCTTTAAATTCGTGGGTTCCTGAGCAGCAGCGGCATATAGGACTGCTCCGACAGGTCGACGCCGTGTGCCAAGCCCTATTGCACAGTGCGCACTGCAGTTTTTCTGGTGAATATGTAGCCTGCTGCTCCTTGTGTAGGCGGGAGTTGGTGAGTCTCAATTAGGCCACAATTGATGCTGCTTCTTTGGGTGACAGCGTCTGGACTGGCGATAGGCTACATCCGGGGCTGGCGGCGTCTGGGTGGGCGAGGCTGGCGTCTCGATAGGGACGTCTTCCAGTGCTGGCATCGTCTGCTCAGTTAAGGTTGGCGCAGCGACAGGTGCGTGTTCTTGGGTCGATGATGTCGACCTGGTTTAACGGCGCTGGTTCTGCCTCTGCTGTCCGGTCTGAATGCTGAAGGCATATCAACAAAAATTAACCTGAAAGTATATAAACAAAGAAAAATTGTTGTAAGGGGAGAAGTCCCGTTAGGAGCATGTGACTCTTGTTCTCCATTAGACCAAACCATCCAGGGATATCTCTTTGTCCTAATCTTGCTCTCCTTCAGACCAAACTATTCATGTATTTATCTATTTGCCTTACTTTTGCTCTCCTTCAGATCAAAATATTCATGTATTTATCTATTTGCCTTACTTTTGCTTTCCTTCAGACCAAACTATTCAGGTATTTATCTATTTGCCTTACTTTTGCTCTCCTTCAGACCAAACCAATCAGGTATTTATCTATTTGCCTTACTTTTGCTCTCCTTCAGACCAAACCATTCAGGTATTTATCTATTTGCCTTACTTTTGCTCTCCTTCAGACCAAACCATTCAGGTATTTATCTATTTGCCTTACTTTTGCTCTCCTTCAGACCAAACCATTCAGGTATTTATCTATTTGCCTTACTTTTGCTCTCCT